CCACTCCAAACTCTCAAAATTTTCAGTTACTTGGTCTTTATTATTGCTTACTTCAAAACACCAATCATAGTTCCCTATGGATTCGACTCTGGACTTAATCGGATTATTACTACAACTTGACCGCCTGCACTTGGGTGTATACACTTTGGATCAAGTCAGTATCTATTCTTGATAGTAACCCGATTCAACTGCCAATAGTCTATACACAATTGAAGGGTCTTGTCCTTCTTCTTAGCAAACAATATTGGAGTGCCCCCTGGTGAAGTGCTCAGTTTGATAAAGCCCTTGTCTAATAATTCTTACAATTGGATCTTGAGTTCTTGCAACTCAGTTGGCGCCATCCTATGTGAAGTCACAGAAACAGGTGATGTACTGGGATATAACTCAATGCTAAAATCTACATCCCTATGGGGAGGTAATCCCGGTAGTTCATCTGGAAAAATATCCTCATACTCACACAAAACCCGAGATAGATCCAACTCTTGTCTCACCTCATCCTCCAAGGTAAGGCTCGCAAGCCAACGCATCAACTGCCTATGCCAACGAGAGTCAAACACGGATTGGGGCAAAGTTTCATGCCTTTCCCCCTGAAACTTGAAACAAACACCGTCTAGTGTATAGGAAATTACCCTTTTTCAATTGCAATCGATGACGACGCGATGTACCGCTAACCAATCCATCCCAAGGATGACCTCAAACTCCGACATGTCCATAACCCTAAGGTCTACGGTGAGTAGAATTCTCGAGATCTCTAACTCACAACCCCGACATATCTAATCAACACACACCCTAGCTCCTAGGGATAAATTCACATATAATGACTCTTCCAAGGTATCAACCTCTAAGCCCAAATCTCTCACAAATCATACAGATATAAATGAATGCAATGCACCAGAGTCAAATAATATCCTAGCCCATAAGCGAGAAAGTAGAAATGTACCTTGAATGACCGACTGATCCACTGGCTCAGTCTGAGTTGTGATGGCGTAGACACGCCCTTGGGTCCCCGAAGTCCTAGCCTGCATGCCCTATCCTCGACCTTGACCCATGTTCTGGCCTATCTGGCTTGATTGCGGAATCCCCACTCATGAAGTGGTAGGGGCCTGAGTAACACCCTGGAACTGATACTGGCTTCCCTGGCCCATGGTGGGGTAGGGAGGAACAAAGTATGCCTATGGTTGTCCCACTGATGGCTGGGACTAAGACGCCCCATAACTCTAGGATCCCTGCCTCTGAGGATAATCCCGCTTCATATGACCCGGATGGTAGCAATGGAAACATGTTCATTGACTGGCCTGATAAGTTGTCCTAGGGTTTCCCCTACCTTGGGAGAATTGACTTTGGCCTTGGCGTTGATGGCTATGGCCCCGTCCTTGTGGAGCAGAAGTTCTCTGTCTCTTTTCCAAACTAGAAGAAGAGGATTGACCCTCCTTCTTCTTGTCCTTAGCACCCGACTCCCGAATGCTCCTTCCGTCATCAACCTCTCTATCAATGGCCATAGCTGTCTCAACCATCGAGTCCAAATCTTGCAAGCGGAGGCCCACAATTTTTCCCCGTATGTATAGTTTCAAACCATCCTCGAAATTCCTTACCTTGGCTATATCCGTGGCCACGTAATCATTAGCAACATAGGCTAGTTCGGTGAACTTAGCCACATACTCCATCACTGTCATCATCCCTTGTTTCAAATCCAAGAATTCGCAGGCCTTTGCATGCCGAGCGGTCGCTGGGAAGTACTTACCCATGAAGAGCTCCCGGAACTCTCCCCATGTCATTTCCTCCAAGTTCTTGGGGTCCTTTTCCCACTCCCACCATAATTGGGCTTCTCCCTCTAGTTGGAATGCAGCTAGTCTTATCCTTTTAGCATTGGAGGTGATCTCCATTGCCTCTAAGATTTTGTCGACTTGCCGGAACCAATGGACGGTCACCATCGGATCCATCCCTCCTATGAATATCGGAGGGTTGTTGGTCAATGACCGGTGGTGGTTGATTATTGTTTCACCCATCGCCTCGACGTCCTCTTCCTCTACTAGCCATCTCCACACATGTCAGATAATAAGAGAGCATTCCTTTAGTACCCCAAAGTAGGGACCAAATTTAAAATCTTGAGATTTATTTCCTTGTCTCCTTAGTAGAGCTTACGCCCACCACTAGTGGACATCTACACCTTGAACTATCCCGTTCCTTTGTTTTTCGACCCCCAATGATCAGTTTTCTAACCCTAGTGTCTCTTTTTTTCATATACATTTTACCATTTACATACTTCACATAACATGTTGCACATACACATAGCATATAGCAATTTAAGCACACATGTAGTGCATAATAAATGCAGTGGTCTAGACTCATGCCCTATCAAGACCTAGGTAAATCGTTTACCAATGCTCTGATACCAAGCTATGACGCCCCTAAAATCGGGGGTCCTATTTCAACCATTGATCACCCGTCAACCCACAAAAGTACCCATGATTATTGCATAACCCAACATCACATCAATATCATCCCCTTAATCAAAATTGCATAACCCACACGTGTAACCCGTGTACTTTTTATCATTTAATCAAATTGTGGTCCAATGTACCACATTTCATACTCCATTATAGTCCATTTACATCATTTGGAAGGAAGGACACATGGCCCAAAAGCATAGCAAAACAGTTTTAAAATTTCAAAATTTTGAAAGTCCTACTGGTATGGCATACCGGTAGGGTGAGCCTACTGGAAAATTCCTACTGTTAGGGTTTGCCTTCTGGACAAAGTTTTACCGGTATGGCCTACCGACATGAGTTGCCCACCTGTCCTCGTCATACCAGTACGCCCTACTAGTATGCTTTGCTGACTTTTGCCTATTTCACCTGTTTTACATTTCCAACTCATTCCAACCTATCGCCTTTTCATCCAACACATGTGTAATGACAATATTTCATATAACTCAAGGTCCATACAATTTCGATTACATTAATTTACATGAATTTATATGCCAAACTAGATTTTCATAATACTTTACAAAACACTCAAAATAAAGTCACATTCTGGCTTTCTTCATACTTGAGGGCCCGAGTGAGAGCCTTCCGCCAACGTACCACCCGCAGCTAAAATGTTTTTCCCATAAAGGGGTGAGCCACACTCAGTAGAGTATTTCTTACAGAGGCTTCTCTCCAACCTAGATGCATATGAAATGCTCACATGCTACACATAAACAAGCATTAACCATTCCAACCAAGATTTAACAAGTCTAAGTTGGAATTTAACATGTCATGTCATGATATGAGGTGATACCCACTCATGCAACTCAATCCGAGACCTCCCACGCTCTTTTTCCCCCATGCAATGTCATGAGTATAAAAGTCGGCTTTCCAAGCCCCGCCATTGGCATTACACACCCAATGACTATTTAAAAATCTCCGAGTCTTTCTTAGGGTGGGTATTTATGGACTTACACCAACGACACCCAACCGATACGAAATTTATGGACTTCCACCAACGGTTTTACGTACACCAACACACTTTATGATCTCTTATACCAACAGAGTGTGTATCTGATCATCGGGCCTCTCACCTGACGAATTGTCTAGCCCTTCTTGCTACACTTGACCTAATTTTCATGCAGCCGTGCGACTCAGTCAAATTTTCAATCTGACTTTCCCGAGCCCACCCATCAACCACCAAATATGGTGCTTGATCAAACCATGCACACACCCATACCCACACACATGTCTCGACCCCATGGATGCGATGCCTCTGTGTAAATGCAATGTAATGCATCATTGCTATATCGATGTCATGCCCCAAATGTAATGAATGTCATATGAGCAAATTTTACCACATTTATATATATTCCATGGAAATTCATATCCAAACCATATAATTACCAATTTCATCACAATGTCGATATATCTATAAGCATACATCAACATTTTTATATCCAACAATACATCACAAGTATGTTATTACATAATATATGCCAATATCACGCTTTATTCACAAAGGCATAATATAAACACATAGCATGCCCACATAATACCATATTTCATGGAATCACACAAATAATTTCCATATATTAATTCCCACCCTTTTCAAGAAATTACTTTGAGTAATTTCTACATGCCCATTATAGGATAGGATTTATTCTACCCCTTTCCAAAGCCCATTTCATTAATTTCACCACAATACGCAAGTGATATATAACTCTATCAACCTACCCATTTCATTTAACATTCTAGGTTGTAAAATTAACCAAAGTAGGAAGGAACTCTACCTCTTGATGCGTAAAAACACGTTGGGAAGCTCCAAGAATTTAGCCTGAGCTCAAATCCAATCCCTCTAAAAATTTTGTCTTCCAAACCTTCGGTGAAAGCTATCATTTATTGGTGTGGTCGCGTAGCCCTTGATGAGAGAAGCAACTTTAATTCTTGGCTCGAGTGGATTCGAACACCCGAGCTCCATAGATCGTAGAGAGAAGGTAGGATTTCTCTCTTTTTCTCTTTCTTTCTCTGCTCTATATGTGAACGGTTGAAGAATGGGGAGGAATCTGATATTTCTTCCCTTTTTATACCCCTAAAAACACTTGGCCCACAACGCGCCACAAGGCCTTATTTTCTCCTGGGTCCGTTTTCACCCCAAAACGATTAAATTTCATCCTGGTTGACATTCAAAATATTTTTATTTTAATTTGCCTTCAATTATTTTCCAACTTTTAAAATTTTATTAAAATTCTCATTTTTGGGTCACCCAAGACTCGACTGACCGCCTCATAAAACTCAAAAAATATGACTATCTCAAAATTCGACGAAAATTTACGGGTAGCTAGATTTTGTGAGGCCCAACAGTGAGGTTCGTTTTGTCATCCAAGTTCTAGAAAAATTCAGGTTTACAACCCGTACCATAGTAACAAATTATCATTTTGCCATTTTTCATAAAAAGTTTAAATTTATCCTGGTTTTACACACACACCCCTCCACTGGCTGGAATCAAAAGTCAATGACATGGCTCTTAATTACTCAGACCACGTCATTGTGTGGCCTGAGGGTGGGCCTATTAACTTGTTGCTCGAACGTCATATTCTTGGCCTTAATGTTCTTCGTGGAAGGGTCATTCTTCCTTTTCTTCCTTTGTTCCCCACCACTGGGGCCTACCTCCTCAGTCCTCTTGCGGGACCTACTTCCTATAGGAGGTGGTGAGCCAAAGCCCATTTGCTTAGTGTAGGCTATCACAATCAAAAATTCCCTAGAGCAAAGAATGGCAACAACAAACCCCAAAGCAACTCAAAAACATTAAAAGATGGAGGTGAAGACTTACCCATGCTAGCCATTGTTCCAAATTCCAAGCTTCGATTGAAAATGATGACTTTTGATGGATTGGTGATGCTTTATGGAGAAAATAGGGTTTTGGGGGGAATAGAGGTCAAGGAAATGAAGAAGAATCAAGGTGAATCCCAAACTTAAGAGAGAAACTTGATGGATTTAGAGGATGCCTAGGTCTTCTTTGAATGTTTTAAAGGTTTTGAGAGAGTAGAGTGTTTTTTGGAGTGAGATGTATGAGGGAGATGAAGGGTTTCACCAAAAATTTGGGTTTAAAACCCTCCTTTTTGGGATTCTGGTCAAAACCTACTGATAGATCTTCAATCTTCTACTAGTAGAAAACCCTTCTGGAAAAACTTCTACCAGTATGTCTTGAAATCTTCTATTGGTAGGTTTCAACTTTTTTGCAAAAATTCATCATGTCCTCATCCTCACTCCCATTCTAAATTTATTCAACTCCAAAGCATTCTAAAGACCTATTTCCTAATTCAACCACCCAAAAACATGATCCATGCTAGTGAACCAATGACTATGGCCAAATTCATTTAAAAAATTAGAATGCGATTTGAGCCTTGATCCTTTCAAAACCATGACATGGAATTCTAATTTCAACAAAATGAACACCCAATACATAAAGCAGATGCTATAGTACATAGGGTATTCCTCTTCCTTTCTCATATCTAAAATTTGAACAATATTCCCTTATCCTACTAGCTCTGGGTTACTTGACATAACTTTTCAAACACCCAAACCAATCACACATGAGTTTCATCATAACTTTAAACGCTATTCTAAAGAATACACATATACACTTCCTTTCAAACTCGTCTACATGTGAAATGAATATGCAATTTAGACATTTACTTAACAGAATCCACATTCACTAGGCTATTCAAATTTAGATTTGATGCAATTCTCTCTAATTCTCTCAAAAATGAATAACTTTATGATTTTCCTGGCATGCTCTTCATGTGTATATGTGAGATAGAATCTAGTGAACAAACCAAAATATACTCACATATAATCAAAAAAATGGTGTGCATAACAATTGAAATGACCTTGGCATAATCTCATGAATGGAATGTTAGGGCAACATATAGCAAAACTAACTTTTCTTTTCATTTAAAGTGTGTTCTAACCATGTTTTCTCTAGATCATTTAGGGCTTTCATGGGTTATAATGAGGCCTTGGGGTGATATTGGGGTTGAGTGAAATGAAGGGTAGAGGGAAACAAAAGGGTTACTCCAAGGACATGACATTTGTTATCAAAAATCTCCTGTTTGCAAAATTTTTAGCTTCACACATTCACTTCACTTTTATGTCTCTTTTATTTCTTTCCTCGACATTTTTCTTCTCTTTTTCTTTTCTTTTTATTTCTTTTCTATTTCAACCCACTTTTCCTCCCTTTTTTTGGATTTTCTCCTCTTTTTTATTCAAAATTTGAATTCAGCACCATTCATCCCTTTTTGGATTTCCTCACCACATTTCCCTTTCATCATAATTAATCACAATCAGTCTCAAAAAAACCAAGGTGTTGTAATTTTTTTGCACTAGCTTGGTAAAACATATGGCGTGGAAACGAATTTTTCAATTAAGGCTCAATCACATCATTAGGGATAAATTATTCACAAGAAAAGGCTAAAGCTCAACGCAATTCAAAGATGGCCTAAGATCATCTTTAAATAAGCATGGGGAGACATATTGATATTTTAAAAGAAAGTCAACCAACCATCCATATGCTCTCTAACTAAAGCAAGCATAATGAGATTATAGAATAGATTTCAAATTTGAAAAATGTTCTTTTAAGCAAATGTAAGTTCTATCCAACAAGAATTGGTACTAGAGCTCACATGGGTACTTAATTTTATTTTTTTTTGGAGGGGGAGAGGGAGGGGGAGGGGGGACTTAAACCCTTGACCACAAGAAGGCAAAGCCTTGACAAGGTAAGGAGTACCATTGGACCAAAGTCCCGTTGGTACTTAATTCATCTCCACTATGTATGTCAAGCTCTAAAATGTGGATCCAATTAGTAAATTGCTGAAATAACACATTCAAGGTGCACTATGGTTGAGTTCGAATGAAAACACATATGTGCTACTCAAGCATAAGATAAAATTTTATGATGTGCTTATGTATTCAAAGTTCAAAGTGAAGATCAACCGAAGATCTACAAAAATTTTAAAATTTTTCACATATTTTTCAACTATTCTATAAAAAAATTGGTAGAATATACGAATGGTGCATTTCACCACAAAATGGTATTATCGACAAAAATTGGTGCATCATGAAAATAGTGCACCTCACCCCCCCAACTTGAACTTTACATTGTCCTCAATGCAACAAAAAGGTATGCAATGAGTGATTCGAACTATTTCGTGTGATCAGATTGATATTATACACCCAAGTTTAAGTGGTCGAATTGTAGTTTTCTTAGTTTAAGTCCAAGATCGATCCCACGAAGAGTTTTAATAATTAGGAAATAAAATAAAAATAGTGCAGTTGTTGTTTAAAATATGATAGTTTTAGATTGCTTGTGATGTGAGCTTAGATTGATAACTAGTCTAATTAAACAGTTGTTTGCAGATAAAATTGTGAGAAGACAATAATATAAAAAGTACCCTTCAGTTTAAGGATCTCATATGCCTTATATTAGTTAAATACTGGAAATGCTACCTTATAGCAATTAAATTCCATGTCACCATAAGTCAATCGGTAGGTCTGATGTATATAAACCATCACACAGCAACTTCTTAGGTTAGCTGGTGGTATACATGTGTCAATTGACTAACCCTAATAACCCAAAAGGACAAGTCATTCATGAGGGATATTTGAGTTACTTAGTTGACCATATGATAGTAAGTATATCCATGATAAACCATAACACAACAACTTCTTAGGTTAGCTAGTGGTATTAATATGTACCAATTAAACAATCCTAGTAATCCAAAAGGACAAGCCGTTCATGAGGATCACTTAAATTGTTAGTCTGATGATTATACCATGCTACAAAAAACATCTTCAGTGCTCCTTTGGAGGTCAAGTCATACTAGTGGAACACCATAGATATTTTATTGGCAATATTATTATGTAACTAGTTAAACGACCTTAGTAATCCAGAAGGACAAGCCATNATGTGCTACTCAAGCATAAGATAAAATTTTATGATGTGCTTATGTATTCAAAGTTCAAAGTGAAGATCAACCGAAGATCTACAAAAATTTTAAAATTTTTCACATATTTTTCAACTATTCTATAAAAAAATTGGTAGAATATACGAATGGTGCATTTCACCACAAAATGGTATTATCGACAAAAATTGGTGCATCATGAAAATAGTGCACCTCACCCCCCCAACTTGAACTTTACATTGTCCTCAATGCAACAAAAAGGTATGCAATGAGTGATTCGAACTATTTTGTGTGATCAGATTTATATTATACACCCAAGTTTAAGTGGTCGAATTGTAGTTTTCTTAGTTTAAGTCCAAGATCGATCCCACGAAGAGTTTTAATAATTAGGAAATAAAATAAAAATAGTGCAGTTGTTGTTTAAAATATGATAGTTTTAGATTGCTTGTGATGTGAGCTTAGATTGATAACTAGTCTAATTAAACAGTTGTTTGCAGATAAAATTGTGAGAAGACAATAATATAAAAAGTACCCTTCAGTTTAAGGATCTCATATGCCTTATATTAGTTAAATACTGGAAATGCTACCTTATAGCAATTAAATTCCATGTCACCATAAGTCAATCGGTAGGTCTGATGTATATAAACCATCACACAGCAACTTCTTAGGTTAGCTGGTGGTATACATGTGTCAATTGACTAACCCTAATAACCCAAAAGGACAAGTCATTCATGAGGGATATTTGAGTTACTTAGTTGACCATATGATAGTAAGTATGTGCATGATAAACCATAACACAACAACTTCTTAGGTTAGCTAGTGGTATTAATATGTACCAATTAAACAATCCAAGTAATCCAAAAGGACAAGCCGTTCATGAGGATCACTTAAATTGTTAGTCTGATGATTATACCATGCTACAAAAAACATCTTCAGTGCTCCTTTGGAGGTCAAGTCATACTAGTGGAACACCATAGATATTTTATTGGCAATATTATTATGTAACTAGTTAAACGACCTTAGTAATCCAGAAGGACAAGCCATTAATGAGGATCACTTAAGTCATTAATCTTATAGTTTTACATACCATGCAACTGTGAAAACATCCTCAGTGCTCCTTTGGAGGTCAAGTCATACTGGTGGAACACCGTAGATATTTTACTGGCAATATTATTATATATACCAGTTAAACAAACTTAGTAATCCAGAAGGACAAGCCATTCAGGAGGATCACTTAAGTCATTAATCTGATAGTTTTATATACCATACAACTGTTAAAACATCCTCAGTGCTCCTTTGGAGGTCAAGCCACATCGGTGGAACACCATAGATATTTTTCTAGCAGGTAAATAATTCATTAATATCATAATTTTGGGCATAATACCCAATTACATATATTAATGTATCATGCATGACGTTTATAATATATATATATATATATATATATATATGTTTACCAATATTATAGAAGTTAACCAATATTATACATATGTTTACCCCTCACTGAAGGATATAAGTTGTAACGCCCAAAAATCACCTTGGACGGCATTATTGTCTAAATATCATTCATATCATGAGAGCAACTAATAAAATCCATCAAATAAGAAAATTTCATTTATCATATGCTATATCTACAACATCTTCCCAAAAGAATATGCCAAACCATGGCCATAATATTCAAAAGAATATGCCAGGTTATGGCAATTACATCCCAAAAGAATCAAATTTGACTTGCAGCGGAATAACAAAATATTAGACTCCACCGAGTCTCAAAATAA